TCCGTGTGGCCAAGTGGCTTGTCCAACATCTCACAGCTAATGAAGAGTGAAGCTGAGATCCCAATCCTGTGCCCTCTAATTTCAGAGCCCTCATTATTTTTAATCTTTTTCTTTTTTAAGCTTGCATCTCTCTGGCCTTACTTTTTAAGTTTTTGCTATGGAGATTTTTCAGACGTACACAAACATAAATAGAATAATACAATGAGCTCCCACGGGCCCATCACCTAGCTTCTATGATTACCAACATCCTGCTGTTCTTTCATCTACCCCCTTTCCCACTTTTTTTTTTAGGGCATCCTAAAACAAATGCCAGGCATGGAATTCCACCAGTAAATACATGAGTGCCGCAGAGCCTCGATCCTCATCATTGCCTGATCCCCTCGGATCACCCTCCATCAAGGCTCTGCAGATGGGCAGTGTAGAAAGATCAGGGGCCAATTCAGACCTAGGCTTCAACCCTAGCCTTGGTTTTGTGTCTCTGTGGGCCTTTGACATGTCACTGCATCTCTCTGACCATCCAGCTCTTCTTCTGTAAAATGAAGACCATGGTTGGAACTTCACTGAGTTGTCATCTAAACAAGATAATGAATGCTGGTGGGCCAGCATGTGAGGCAGGCTCAATACACCAGGTTCCCCTTCCTAGACTCAATGTATTTGTTTCCTGGGGCTGCTGTGACAAAGCACCACAAATTGGGTGCTTAGAACAACAGAGATTGATTCTGCCACAGTTCTGGATGTCCAAAGTCTGAAGCTAAGGTATCAGCAGGGCCACGCTCTCACTGCAGGCACCAACGGAAGCTCGCTCGGGCCTCTCCTGGCTGCTGGTGGCCGCTGGCCATCCTTGACATTTTTTGGCTTGTGGTAGCATCACTCTGACCTCTGCATTGATCTTCACATGGGCTCTCCATCTGTGTGTCTGTGTCCAAATTTCCCTTTTCTTATAAGCACACCAGTTATTGGATTAGAACCCACCCTGATCCACTGTAGCCTCATCTTCACTTGATGACATCTTCAAAGACCCTATTTCCAACTAAGGTCACATTCACAGGTTCAGGGTGGATATGAACTCAGCACCCCTGAGCTGCTGCCTACTGCTCAGGCCTGGGGAGCTTTCCAGGGCAGATCCAGGGACCTCCCCTGCTGTGTGCTTGAGACAGAGAAGGCTGGCTCCCAGGGGAGGAGAGCAGAGTCTCCCTGATGCCCTTTGCCCTGCACCAGCCGTCCTGGTCGCCAGCTTCTCAGAGAGCAGCCACTGAACGCTGGCACTTGGGAGAAGTAAGCCCATCCTGAAGGTGGCTGCCTGCCACATGCCTTCCCAATGCACTCAGACAAAAGTCCTGTTTCCTGGCCCGCAGCCCTTGCTGGGCTCACCTCAGCATCCTTTTTGCCCCCTGCCACCCACACCAGCCTTCCTTGGTGCCCTAAATGCACCGAGCGCAGCTGCCTCCTGGCCCTCACTTGTGCCCTTTCTCTCCACAACCCTTCACCTGGGTAACTCCCGTCATCCTTTGGGCCATTGCTTAACCATCACTCCCCAACACACACACGGAGGCCTTCCTGAGCCCACATAGCAGTCTTTCATGCTGTCCTTTCTTGAAACATCCTGTTCTTTCTCTCCAATGCACTGATCACAATATCTATCCATTCTGGTGTTTGTTTATGTGTGTTCTGACTTGTTCCCCCACTATAAGCCCCATGTGGGCAGTAACAGATATTCCATTTAGTTCTGCACCCAGCACTCCACACCATGCCTGGCACACCACAGATGCCCAATAAACATATGCTCACCCATCAATAATGAAGTCCCTCTGCAGAAACTTCTGATTGTGCAGGGGAGAGAGGTCAAAGACAACGGGTAGAAGGTAGAGCCTCCATCTGGAGGCCCACAAGTGCTCCTTTGTTGGAAAATCTCTGCTCCCACCCTGTGTAGCGCCTCTATACACAGCTCTGGGCTCGGCCTCTGGAGTCACACGGAAGCCCCAACACCTCTGCCCCATCCCTGCCTTCCCTTCATTAGCAGATGGCTCCATGCTGCTCCATGCCGGCCTTTCCTTCCACGTCATGTCAGCCCCAGTTTGTTCTTTTCTTCCCCTTCCATCAGGGTCAGGCTTCACCCCTCCTCCTTCTCTGCTCTATGTTCCACTTCAGTTTCCACGTCCAAATCTAAGACCTCACAGGGAGGCGTTCTATGCACTCAAGATGAGGGGAGCCCTTTGGCCTGAGCCACCACACCTCAGGTTGGCCTGGCCCTTATTTTAGGCTGGTTTCCCCTTGCCAATGTGTGGGATTTCTGGAGGGGAGGCCCTGGACCCAAAACATGAAGTTGGCAATAGGACTGGCCCTAGGCAGCAGATGAGTGGGAGGTGCCTGTGACCCATGCATGGGAGGCATGGGGACAGCGTCATGACGTGATCCACGCAGAGCCCAAGGCACAGCATGTGTTAGTGGCACCCCCACACACCGGGCCCTGCAACCCAAAGATGCAGCTTATCTGGCTGCCACACAACACAAGGGTGCACGTGTGCCTACCGACCACTGGAACCCCAAACAGAAAGCCAGAGGACACAAAAGCACACTTTCATGAGGACAAACTCTTTACAATCCAAATCAGACCCACAGTGTCTAGCTGGGGCTGTGTTCCACAGCCCTGAAGGTAAGGCCTGCACTTGATCCCTGATGACCAGGTAGAAACAAGAGATGTCATTCCCTGAACACGTGGCATGGGAGAAAAATGACTACATAGGGACATGGAGCTGGAAAATACCACACACATTGTCAGGTTCAGCCCTCTGCCTTCAAGTAACAGAGGAACCGTGATAAGACACCTGAGACCCTCACTGGGGAATCATCCTGGCCAAAGTGTCCCGGCCAGTTAGGGTGGGAATCAGGGCCCGGTAAGCCCTGGGCAGTGTTTGCTCCACTGCTGCTGCAGGAAAAGACAGCAGGAGCCCACATCCAGGAGGAGGCAGAGAGGATGGGAGGACCTAGCAACACCCCCTTACGCCTCTGCCAGCACCTCTGGGCAGTGCCCAGGACACGTCCTCTACCCAAACGGCCCTACTTTACTGCACTATGGAAGGCTGTTCCCAGTGATTTCTCTCCCACCAAACCAAATTGACCGCAGCATGTACAAAATCTAAAAATCCAAGGCAACAGCCAACGAAGAGACCAAGACTTCAGCCGGTTTTTAAGTAAAAAGTACTAGACCTTGCACCCCCGGCCTTCGCTGTTCCTCTCCTCCCAGGTGTGGACGTTTTCAGCCTCACTCTCTGGCCCCGAGTGTGCCTTGGGTGTCACTGGAAAACCTGGGCTGTTTATGGAAAGACCCAGCCTTCCCCGCTGTACCCCCACAAGGCAGATATGGATGAGTTTCAAGCAGGCGTCATGGAAATGTCACTTCTGCCAGCCGCACCCCTCCGTTCACCCCACGCAGCAGGGCCCTCTTCCCAATGCTGCCTGTCTGAAATGGGAGGCCAACCCTGGAACTTTTCAATCAGACAGAACTCCCACTGCTCTGCTTTTGTTTTATTTTCTCTCTCCCTCCCTCCCCAGTATTACTAATAACTGGCTTGGATGCTGGGATGAGTCAGCCCCACTGAAGAGCCAATTAGCTCGCCCACAGGAAGCCCATTAACTCTTCCGGGACCCCAGGTATCAGACAGCAGGCTCCCCCTTTGTGAGCCCGGGGGACTAGTACATTCAGTGGCTCTTTCCTCAGGCCCTCTCCAGCTATGACATCCAACCCATTTCCCTCACCTCCTGTCACTGCCTGGATCCAGGTCTCATCACCTCCTCTGGACTTCCTTCTAACAGATCTCCCTGCCTCGGATATCATCTCATGCCATTCTCTTCCCTCCCTAGCTGCTCATACAGTGACTTCATAAAACCAGATCTACTCATGACACAACCTAGCTCAAAAGCTCTCTGTGGCTCTCTATTGCCCAAAAAGATAAAATTTACTCTTACCAGACTTGCACTTACCATCCACTCTAGAATCTGTTGTCTTCCTTTTCTAACCCTCTCTGGAGCTGATCCCCTACATAAGCCCTCCCCAGGGTCTAAACACCTACCCCAAACCCTGGCCTCTGTGCCTTTGCTGCTGCTGGTTCTCCTTTTTCGAATACTATCTCTTAACCTGTGGAAATCCAGCCCATCTCTCAAAGCTTGACTCCAACCCTACCTACTCTTTAAAGCCTCCCCACGGCCCTTCATTCAAAAACCACTCCTTCCCTTCAGAACTCTATTGCATTTCTGCCACTCAGCACATAGCAAGTTCCAACTGTAATTTCATGAAACTGCTTCTCACGGGCTTTGTCTTCTCAACAAGATTGGTACTTTCTTATCATCAATTTCACTATTCAACAATGGGGGACCTTTTTAATAAATTACAGAATATTCATACAGTAGATAACTAGTTAACCATTAAAAATAAGTGACAGAAGAAAGGACTGAAGATTGACATGAAAAGATGTTGATTATATATTAATTTGGGAGAAAAAATTATAAAATAAGATGCACCCGAAGTATCCGTTTTTGCTTGAAATCCATGCATGCATAGGAAAAGAGTGAGATTCTTCAACATAACGCTGAACAGTAATTTTTTAAACCTGGGTAGTGTTAATGAATGGAATGAACCATTTTCTTTTTTTTCTTTTTTTTTTTTTTTTTTTTTTTTTTTTTTTTTTTTTT